ATTGACATATTTATCACAAGCTATAGGATTTCTAAGAAATTTAAGGAATTTAAACGTATCAAATAACGAATTAGCGTATTTGCCAGCTAGTATATTTAAACGTAATTTCTATCTAAATATTGAGGATAATCCACTTAACTATCCTCCGAGAAAAATAGTGATGCCATTAATGCCACAAAGTCTCTTTGAATTTTCAGCCAGAATAATTATAAAACAATGGTTTGATATTTTATTTTATTGTTTGTATATTTTGTCTTATTATTTCAAGTATTATTAATATATAGGACAAAATTATTATTTTCAAAATTATTATTTCAAGTGTTTTTTATAGGAGGCAATCTGATTTCACAGGACAACTATCAATACCAAATGAGATAATTAGACATTTATTTAATACGAAATATTGCTCCCGTTGTGCAAATCCTTGTTTAAAATGTTATATAAAATGGTTTGGATTATACGATACCGTTACGCATGCATTCATACTTTATAAGCGTGTTCCTATAGGAGGTATTTCTGTAGGGTGTATTCGTTTGTATCCATGTCTGGAAAAATTTACTTTAGTCTGGTCTCGAAGGTTACATCTAACTATTGAATTTTGTTTTTGTTCGTATCATTGTTTTAATTTAGTTCATAATTCCTCAGTTCTTTATTAATTCGTCGTTCATTTAATTATCGCAGAATAGATTAACAATCACGATAATACGATTCACAATATACATTAATATTATCAAAAACTTGACAACTTGAAAATTTCTATTAAGAATATTTTTAAGAATATTTTTTAAATGTGTTTTAGTGAATCGATTTTTTTATTAGCATTAATTATTATTCTATTAGGTGTTAATAATTATTTTTAATTGTTTTAATTGACGCGCAATGATAAAACATTGATAGCAGTATTTTAATTATAATATGCATATGTGTATGATGTATATTCTTATATGGGAGATACAAGGATCTTGAAGATATCAAACTTTAATATTTTCATGTACGTTAGTTTTATAAGTTATTTATTTTGAGGAGAATGGAAAGTTTTGCAAAAAAGATTCATCATTAGTAATTCGGAAACCTGCATGTAGAGGGCGCCTGCTCACAGTTGTAGCTTTTCTGTAGCAGATAGAAAAATTTATATAGAATAGATATTATATAATAGATATAGAATAGATATTGTATTAGAATTAGATTAAATTTGATGTTTTATTATTTGGATCTAATTTTTATATAACATAGGTAATATTAAGTATATTATCATCGTGTATTATAAAATATACAACAATTACACATATAATTACGTACATCATATATACATACATACATTTATACATATACATTATCCGTATTTGTACACTATATATATTTATACATTTTACCTATATATGCATATATTTATATATAGTGCTATATTTTAATACTTAAAATTAATGCTTATTTTTGAAATATTGTATATGTATATTGTATATGTCAGTATCAATATCGAAAAATTACTAAAACTGTGCATAATTGAAATGACAGTTAAGTTTACAGATCTTTACATTTTGATTTTTTATATCTTATTGTTTACATTTTATACATATCGTGTTTTACGCATTTTTATATTCTGCTTCACTATAATTTTAATGTATTATATTTCTCTAATTTGGTATTTGTTTTATACATCTATGGGAAAATTACAACACAATAAAGATATTTACATTTTACTTTTTTGCCAATTTTTTTTGAGAGATTCTCGTTTGTAAAAATTACTTGTATATGTTTTGTCATCTGTTTGTTTATATGATTGACAAATAACCGGAAAGTTATATTGAACATTGATAGGAAATTAAGAGAAGTTGAGAAATCAAATGGCGCAATCATAAATATGGCGATTCTGCAGAGATTTACAGAAGTAGGAAATAGTAATAATAACTTTAGATGTTGATTTTCATCGTTTAAGTGCCATGAGTATTTGTTAAAAAGCAGTTAGAAACTTGCTAGTGTTATCGTACTCTTATTTTAAATAGAAACAAATTAAGTAGTGTAATAATATTGTTTATTTACTTACACGATTTTTTATACATTAATTCATTTTTTATAAAATTATTATGATAAATCTACTTCGAATTGAATGAGAATGGACATTCTCTACGTAATGGATACATTTTAAAAATGGTTTGTTAAATCTTTATGGCATATAAATGTATTCAACACATAAATTTAATATATCTGTATACGCTACATCATTTATCGTAACATTTTTTTATTTTCTTTTAATTCTGTTCCTTTATGTGACATTCAACTGTTAATCTCATTTTAAATTTAAATAGGTCTATATTTATGTCGATATACGAAATGATAAATAATAAAGACATAAACATAATATCGAGATTCTCAATAGAATTTACATTTATCTACATTCGTATTGAAGACACGAGACAACACAGTATTCTAAATTAATAATTGTAGAAATTTTGTGGAGAGAGAAACGACTATCGTACTATTTTTTGCAAACGCGGTAGAAAAAAAGGTAATACAAAATTTTGCCAAAAATTGTTTAATCTAATTAAAATCTAATTTGATTTTATAAAATTAAAAAATAAAAAGTATTTTGTACCTATTAATTTACTTAGTGAATAACTACGTGAAATAAACATAAATTTTGACGAAAATGCTCACTTGCTGAAAACGGAAAGTTGAAAGTTTAATATGATTTTCTCATTTTGTAATGATGACTATATCAAATATAATACAAACAACATAATTTAGAAAAATTAAATAAACATAAATAGATCTAATCACTGAAAAATTATCTTTGGATGTTAAATTGCAGTATGAATATCGTGAGCCTCATATTATTTCACTTATTTCAAAATGCAAGTAAAATCTTTGCAAAAAGACGAATTAAGAAATATTTGGAAGAGAGGATGAGGAATTTGAAAAAGAGGATAATTGTAGAATTGTATGCAAACAGACTTCTACGAACTAGTAGCTTAAATAATATCGCAACGTATCGATTTCTAAAATATATAAATGTGCAAAATAGTATGATTTTTGCCTTGTCAAAGGAAATTGGTAATTTACCATGTCTTGAGCAGCTTGATTTATCAAATAATTTTCTTGGATATTACAATAACCATGAATGGCTTTGGTTAGAACAAATTCCTATAAGAAACAATCTAATATATCTAAATTTGTCAAGAAATTTGGTATGTAGTTATTAATTTATAGTTATCGTTTTTTATCATGTTATTAAATAACATTCTATGTCGTCTGCGAAATAATTCTTAATTATTATTATTATTATTTTTAATAATTTATTGTTATTTATAGTTGACTGTATTACCGATACAAATTATGATGTTGAGAAAGTTAGAAAAGTTGTACATTAGTTATAATAGACTGACATATTTACCACAAGCTATAGGATTTCTAAGAAATTTAAGGAATTTAAACGTATCAAATAACGAATTGGTGTATTTGCCAGTTAGTATTTTTAAATCTAATTTCTATCTAAATATTGAGGATAATCCACTTAATTATTCTCCGAGGGAAATAGTGATTCCATTAATGCCACAAAATCTCTTTGAATTTTCAGCCAGAATAGTTATAAAACAATGGTTTGCTATTTTATTTTATTGTTTATATATTTTGTCTTATTATGATATGTAATATATAGGACAAAATTATTATTCAAGTGTTTTTTGTAGGAGGCAATCTGATTTTGCAGGTGAATTACCAATATCAAAGAAGATAATTAGACATTTATTTGATATGAAATATTGCGCCCATTGTGGAAATCCTTGTTTGAATTATTCTATAAAATCGTTTGGGCTATACAGTACGTTTGATCGTATATTCATATTTTATGGATATATGAACAATTCTATAAAGCGTATTCCTTATTATCCAAATTTTCTACAAGACTTTATTTTAGTCCTACCTTGGAGATTATATCTAACCATTGAATTTTGTTTTTGTTCGCGTTATTGTTTGAATTTATTTAATTCCTGAGTTCATTTGCATATTGCAGAGTTGGATTAACAATCACGATAATACGATTTACAATATATATTAACATTATCAAAAACTTGATATTTGGAAACTTCTATTTTGAGAATATTTTTTAAATGTTTTAGTGAATCGATTTTTTTACTAGCATTAATTATTATTGCATTAAGTATTAATGATAGTTTGTAATTGTTTTAATTGACGCACAATGATAAAGCAGTGATAGCAATATTATTATTATTATAATATGCATATATGTGTGATGTATATTCTTATATGGAAGATACAAGGACCTTGAAGATATCAAACCTTGATATTTTCATGTGCATTAGTTTTAACTTATTTATTTTGAAGAGAATTGAAAGTTTTACAAGTAAGTTTTACAAGAAAGACTCTTCATTAATAATTCAGAAACCTGCATATATAGGACGCCTGCTCACAATTGTAACTTTTCTATAAGCAAATAGAAAAATTTGTATGGAATAGAAATTGTTGTATTAGAATTAGATTGAATTAGATGTTTTATCATTTGTATCTAATTTTTATATAACATAGGTAATATTAAGTATATTATCATCGTGTATTATAAAATGTATAACAATTACACATATACGTACATCATATAGATATACATTTATACATATACATTATTCATATTTGTACACTATATGTACATATTTATACATTGTACATATACATGCATATATCTATATATAGTGCTATATTTTAATACTTAAAATTAATGCTTATTTTTGAAATATTGTATGTGTATATTATGTATGTCAGTTGTATCAACATCGAAAATTACTAAAACTGTGCATAATTGAAATGACAGTTAAGTTTACAGATATCTTTACATTTTGATTTTTTATATCTTATTGTTTACATTTTATACATATCATGTTTTACGCATTTTTATATTCTGCTTCACTATAATTTTAATGTATTATATTTCTCTATTTGTTTTATACATCTATGGGAAAATTACAACACAATAAAGATATTTACATTTTACTTTTTTGCCAAATTTTTTTTGAGAAATTCTCGTTTGTAAAAATTACTTGTATATATTTTGTCATCTGTTTGTTTGTACGATTGACAAATAACCGGAAAGTTATTGATGAACATTGATAAGAAATTAAGAGAAGTTGAGAAATCAAATGGCGCAATCATAAATATGGCGATTCTGCAGAGATTTACAGAAGTTGGACAGAGTAATAATAATTTGAAATGATGATTTTCATCGTTTGAGTGCCATGAGTACTTGTTAAAAAGCAGTTAGAAACTTGCTAGTGTTATCGTACTCTTATTTTAAATAGAAACAAATTAAGTAGTGTAATAATATTGTTTATTTATTTACACGATTTTTTATACATTAATTTTTTATAAAATTATTACGATAAATCTACTTCAAGTTGTATGAATAGGCCAGTCTCTACATAATGGATTCTATATTTTAAAAATGATTTGTTGAATCTTTGTGCCATATAAATATATTCAACACATATGTAAATTTAATACATTTGTGGATACTACATCATTTTTCGTAACATTTTCTTTATTTTCTTTTAGTGCTGTTCTTTTATGTGGTACTCTACTGTTAATTTCATGTTAAATTTAAATAGGTCTATATTTATGTCGACATACGAAACGATACACAATAATGACATAAATATAATATCGAGATTCCTAATAGAACTTACTTTTATGCTTACTTATTTCATATCGGAGACGCGGAATACAGTGTCTAAGTGAACAGTGAGAATTCTGTGAAAAGAAAAAATCAATTTAGCAAACTTAAGACAAGAAATAAGATAATAAAATATTTTTCAACGAGAAATTTTTCTTTGAGTAAGCATAGTCGGGTTTAAAAAATTTAAGTGAAATAAAAAATATCGTATACACATTAATTTATATATTTAATGAATAATTACATGAAATAAACACGAGATAAACATCAATCAAATTTTGATGAAAATATTCATTTACTGTTAAACGGAAAAGTTTCATATAGTTTTTTTATTATGACAATAATGATGACAATATCAAATACATTATTTATAACACAATGTAGAGGAATAAAATGAATCTAAACATATATAGAGTGTTTGCTTACAATATATTTGTACAATTGTAGCTTTTCTGTAAGCAGATAGAAAAATTTGTATCGAATAGAAATTGTTGTATTAGAATTACATTGAATTAAATGCTTTATCATTTGTATGTAATTTTTATATAACATAGGTAATATTGAATATATTATCATCTTGTATTATAAAATGTATAACACATGTAATTATGTACGTACATCATATATACATACATATTTGTACACTGTACATATACATATTCATGCATATATTCATATACATATAGTGCTATATTTTAATATGTCTACTAATGCTTGTTTTTGAGATATTATATATGTATAATGTATATGTATTGTATCAATATCGAAAATCACTAAATCTGAGCATAATTGAAATGACAATTAATTCCACAGATATCTTTACGTTTTGATTTTTATATCCTATATTGTTTACATTTTATGTATATTACTTATATACATTTTATCAGATTTTCACGCATTTTTATATTGTGTTCTATAATTTTAATGTACATATTATATTTCTCTAGTTTAGTATTTGTTTTATACATCTATGGGAAAATTGCAGCATAATGAAGATATTTGTTTTTTTTGCTAAATTTTTCCATTTTGCCGTTTGTATGTTATTTATCAAAATTTACTTATATACATTTTATCGGTTCGTACGTGCGACAGTAAGATAACTGGAAAATTCTGTGGGAAAATCGGTAGAAAATTAGAGGAGGAAAATTTGCATGCTCAAATAGTAGAATATGTGCTGCGGAAATTCTTGGCGAGGTCTTCGTTGTAGTCGAAGCCAGAAACAGAAGTGAGACCATCGGGTTCCGCTGCGCGCCGTCGGCGCGGCTTTGCTGGCGCGGTGGAGGCGCGTGTTGCCTCACGTGTTGGGCGTAATGCATCGCGTTTCTGACACGTGATGCCTTCTCGTCGTTGGCGCGGTGCGGTGCGGCACTACGTGACGTGACGTCTCCCTCCTGGTGGCTGAGGAAACGGCAAGCGTCGCCGCTCGCGTCTCGTAGTCGTCGTCGCGCCTGCGATTCGCGAGCACGCACAGCACGCAGCACAGTTGTTCGATAACGAGAGAAGGCGCGAGAAGGCGTTCGTCCCGAGTGTCGAGTGGAGAGCGGCTAATCTCTCATCTGAGCTTATCTTCGATAATCGCATGTTGCTTCGAATAATTTAAAAGAAATATATAAAGACGTAGATATATCTTTAAATAAAAAAAAGGTCGTGTGTAAATAAATATGTTGTAATATCATTAAGCGTGTCGGACTGTGGTTTATAACATACGTTTAAATAATAATACTTTATTGAATACGCTTTTGTATAATAATAATTTGAATAATAACACCTGATTGATAATATCGAAGGATACAAGTTGGAAAGTAAGAAATATAGAACATTCCTCCATGGTGGAAATCTATTCGAACTGGATAACATTGTGTGTGGGATAACTGTTACTGTTACAAACTCTGTAATACGGCTTACGAATTTTTGCCGAGAAAGGAGCAATTCAGAATTTGACTTTCCTCACGGGAGGATCGCGTTGAAAGTGAACTCGAGCTAGTGGACTAGGCGATATTCGCTTTTCAGCCTGTTTGACATAAAAAAAGTTTACTTTTAAATGGTACACGCATATCGAGAACATTTTTCGAAAGAGAAGGCAAAAGGATCATCTTAAAACTACGGAGCGTGATCTGCAGCGAAACTGAATTTTGTGTAAAGAAGATTAGACAAGTAGATATCCCTTTCATCTCGTGTTTTGTCATTGAAGGCAGGATGGTCACGCATAGTATGGATAACATTCTGAACATGCAGTATTACCCGACGAACAGCCACGTCGATACATCGGTGCATTCGCCGCCACCGAGGAAGAGGCGTTGCTTGAATAAAGAGGTGAATACGCTTCCGCCAATCTGAATCTTGAGCGAAATCGATATCCCGTTCCTTTCCACTTGCATCTTATAGTAACGCGATGGAGAACTAGAAAATGCTGTCGGAATGCATTTTTTCCGTCCAATCTGGAGCTGACTTCTCTAATTTCTTCTAATTTCGCAGCGATATTTAATTAACTGATATATTTTTTGGAAAAGATTGCGTTTGATTGGGTTTTCGTTCGGAGAGAAATCTGCTGGATTTCGGCCTCCCGTAGAATTCTGTCATTTGGGAAAGCCACTATTTCATCCCTTCGTCCTGATTTATGGTTTTTCGGGTCATTCTGTTTTTCTCGCATATTCCGATCGCGTTCCCGACGTATGCGCCGACCGCTTGCGTAATTTCATTGGCATGAATGGGTTTCATGGAAAAGCTCCTGTTGGCCACGTGCCAAGAACGGGCATTACGTTGCTATCGTTCGAATGGTTCGCGTTCGTAAATTAACGTGGGACTGAAGACGTCATTGTGGCGTCTCGCTTTTGTTCATTTGCTATTTGAAATGCATAATTGCGGGGAAGATCGTGCATTCCATTCTCTTGTAAATTTATTTTGTAAATTCGAAAAGCGTTCGAGCGGCGTTATAAAGCGGCTTGCGTCGCATCGATTATCTTATGGAGAGCAAATTATGATTATATACGAGAGTAAAAAATGCTGTTTGTTTTCAAAGTGAAGACTCGGGCTTTTAAGCAAGAGTGTAGTTACATAAGATTATGATCTGACGTGATCTGATAATTTACTTAGAAATAAAAGAAAAAAAAATATGGAAGATTTTACTGTTTTTAAAATGAGAGTGAATAACGTCATCAGTATGGAAATTTAACTGGAGCGTTTTAAGAGAGTCTTGTAAAGTGAATTATAAATTGCATGAAATTTTCAATCGCTATTGAAAGATCCATTCAATGGCTCGCTCGTACGCGCTTATTTCAGTTCATTTAAAGAGCTCGCCTTTGAAAATTAAGATTATCGGAGAATCGGTCCTCGCGCGTATCGTCCGCAATTTGATTGTCACGATCACGAGATTTTTCCATTACATCACGTTACTTCGTTCCTGATCGTTCGACGTTATCTTTCCGCATATTCGCGCGATAGAGCAACATTTCGGCGAATTAAGCGGTTACCTAACTAACCACGATACGTGCCTCGAGATCGTGACACGCGGCACGTACAGATAATTGCGCTCGCAGCGGATCGCAACGTGACCTTTAAAGACGATAACGTGCTTTAATTCGCGCGCAATAGTATAATTATGATCTTTCTCTCTCGTGGCATTGTTTCAAGATATCCATGAGTTGCCAGTAGAGATTGTTCAAGATTGCGAGATCGCATTTTATTTTCGCATTACGATTGGATTGGGATAATAAATCGTAAAAATTTCTTTATTTATCCTTTTATAAGGATCGATTTAAATGCCTCTTATATTAATTAGTGAAAGATTATGTATGGAATATATAAGGCGAGCGGTTCGCGTCTGATTGTAGCTTGACCGTTACTACTGCAAGACGAGGAAAATGTCAAACGTATCGATTCGCGTGAATGTTGTCGAAAAAAATATTTGTCGTATATTTGTACGTTTTATTACTTTTTCAAAATTGTTTCAGGAATGTATTTCTATTGTTTTAAATATATTTAAATTACAATGAAGCTGATGAAATTACAATTTATTATTTCGAAGAACAATTATTTTATTAATTTGAAATTTTGTCCGCGTATTAATTACTTCGTTTTTTGCAAAATTAATGACACAATATTGATTACATGATATTTTAGAGTAAAAAACGCCCTTTGGGGTACTATTATTCAGACGTTCCGCCAATAATTGGATCGTGTTTGTGTTTGTTACAGCAAGATCCGATGTCACATAGGATCATTGAGAAACGTCGAAGAGATCGCATGAATAACTGCCTGGCCGATCTCAGCAGACTCATACCGGCGGAATACTTGAAGAAGGGTCGGGGCAGAGTCGAAAAGACGGAAATCATTGAGATGGCAATTCGCCATATGAAGCATCTGCAAGGCCTTCGGCAAGGTGAGTTCGCGCGTTTAATTGATTTATTCCGGATTTATTCCGGATAAATAAAATTATTTTTAGAAAGCGACAGTATATTACGTAATGCCGCGTATTGTATTTCCACCAGTTGATAATAAAAGTGTCGCTCCGCAACCGGACTGTCTGTAGATTGTGAATTCGAGATACGCGTTCTCTCTTTAAAAATGACAAGAGCGCGGGCGTCATACTCGCGACAACAGTTGTCACAATTGGCAATGTTTTGTATTCAGATACCAAGCACTCGCCTGTGACGTCGGTGCACACGCATCCCGAAGACAGTGTAGACAGCGTGTCCCATTCGACCGCGGCTTCCACCGCGGCGGAACATTACAGGCTGGGATTCCAGGAGTGTCTGAGCGAGACCATGCATTTCCTCGTCGAGGTCGAGGGTTTTTTCGCGAGGGATGCTCTTTGCGTACAGCTCATCAACCACCTGCAGCAGCACTGCGACAAGATCGTAGCTACCAGTACGTGTCAAAGATACAAACAGCTTGAAACTTTTTATTGCATAAACAGTATATTTTAATTTTTTTGATTCTATTGTCTATTACGATAGATATCTTTCATTGTGTTTTCCATATTTTAAAAAAGAAAATAATATTTAACTTTTATAACGTATTGTAATTCTTTTTTAGACAGAATCTCGAAGCTCACGTTATGGATTAATAAATTAATAATAATTAATGTTCGATTTCTCTGTGAAGTTAATATCTCATTTTCTGAATTTCAATATGACTGATAGAGCCTGTATTCTCCAGAGAAATCTATAATTTTTATAAGTTCGTAAAGGAGGTCTGGTCATTAATATCTCGAATTTGCTTTAGGTGATCGATTGGGCTTCCCGCATCCCGAGCTGCCGGTGATGAACGGCACGATGAACGGCACTGGTTACTCGCACACGAGCATTCCGACGATATGCCAACCCAACGGCGGTCACTCGGATCACGGTTCGAGCTCGGGCGTGAGCTCGTTCGGCGACCCAGAACGTCCTCTGCTACGACCAGCGATCGTGGCACCACCGACGATCGTAAGTGACGACAGCAACCACAGCACCCATTCGCACAGCACGCCGCCCGGGGCCGTCTCCTGTCGGGATCGGCCGACCAACTACAAGTTCAAGAGCTCGATCAAACAGAGGTTCTCGGCGGAGAGGGTAAAGTCATGTTCGCCGCCGGTGTCGAACGGTTCTGGATTGGACAAACCACCGTCATCGTCGTCTCACGGCGTGCCGATCTTCGCTTTGCACGATGCTGGTTCCTTCTATGTGCCGTTGACGGTCGAGGCATCCTTGATTAGGCCCCACTTGAGCTTCATTCCGGACACCGGGCCCGACACCGTTCTACATCCGGTTACGATATCGGTTAACTTCAATCACTCGCCGCCAGTATGGTCACAGCATCACAGTCCTACTCATCAGCATCAGACATAAAGGAGAGACAGAAGCAGATTGTTCGTATCTATCGTGAACGAGGAAGATGTATTCTGAATCCATCGGTTTCCGATTGTCACCGGTGAATTGATCAGCGTCCTAATACAGAATGATCATAGAAATCCTGAATTCTTTAATGATAATAATAATAATAATATGTCAGACATTGGATGGAACTGGGAGCAATGAGGCCGTCCACGATCGCGAGAATCACAGGTAGTTCGTGATTCTTTTATTTTATTAGTCGCAATACATGGTGGACGGAATAAAGTAGCCTATATACGGTACTCCGGGAAAAAATTTTTTATATATAATTATATGTGGATTATATATAAATATATATAAAATCACATATAGCTATGTATAACTTTATATATAATTATATGATAGACATTTTATAACGTCTTATATATAATTATATCTAATTATATTTAATTATATGTGGAAAATTTTTTATCCGGACGGTTTATTGGCATTGTTAATATTATTATTAAATCATATATAAATTCTGGATGACAAATATATCTCGTACACACACACACACACACACACACACACACACACACACACACACACACACACACACACACACACACACACACACACACACACACACACACACACACATTATATTTTGAGATATCGACATGAATAATAATGAGATATATATATATATATATGACAATATATCTCATTATTATTCATATCGATATCTCAAAATATATTTGTAATGATAATTGAACATTATATCGTATATGGGCTGCTTTTTAGATATATGTTGCGTAGAAGACGCCGAAGTCGAGGATGTTTGTACATTTACCGAGGCTGTGGGTCGCTTTAGCATTTACGAGATTCGAAAGAGAAAGCGTGTTAAGGATTGTACATAGGTAGAGTATTAAGGATAGGAAGCTCCAAGTCATTCTGGCTTCGGTGTGTCTTTCTTCGTTGTTAATCCTATATGATGAGATCCCATTTTTCTTCCTCTTCCTTAACGGATATTTCATCTCGCGTTCTCGCATTCGCTCCATCTATTCTCCTTCCTCAATGCTTATTTTCCATCTGCCTGACGAATTTTCTGCGCTGCTATTGTTCTTTTAGTAAAAAAATCAGTATGAATATTGGTGAGTTTACAAATATCGGATATCATTAATTAGTTGTATATCGAACATATTGTATTGAGTATTCAGCGAAGGAGCACGTTATGTCTTAATACAAGGCAGGAATCTGGAAGCAACTTCATTTTTATTTTATTTTTCGCGTGGAAAGATATGTGAAAAATATAAAAAATCACACATGTTATGTCTATGGGAAAGATTATCTCTATTAGGTCAACGCAGCAAACGCATGACAATAGGCAATGGTTATCAAACCCAACAGATTTAATAAAGACGAAGGAGTGATGATTTTGCTTCGAGATCCCAGATTGATTCGTATGAGCCGATAATTTTCCGTATTTGCGATGTAAGTTAGAGTAAAAGTGCCTATATACACACACACACACACACACACACACACACACACACACACACACACACACACACACACACACACACACATATATATATATATATATATATATATATATATATATATATATATATATATATATATACT